ATATCTTATAACATCTTCCCTGCATGGTCAGCTTTATTTTCAAAATAATATATTTTTTCTTCATGGCCAGAATGGATGTTTTAATATCTTTATATCTATCTTAATCTGAAGATAGATATAAAGATATTATATCTATCTTCAGTAAAGCTGATTTTGGAAACCCTAGGAGACATAATACCCCAAACCACATGGTCATTGTGAAAGTGGACCAGGGATGACAGCATCACATTTTAGGGAGAGGACCCTAAGAGCCACTGGGAATGCATGTGATGTGTCAGTAACCACTCACCCCAGAGGAGAGACATTACAATATGTGGAATAGGATTGAACTAATTTGAACATGGTTTTTAAGAAATGAGAATATGGGTATAATCCACATGACTGGGAGCTCTGAGATCCTCACATGAGTGTGTCAAGGGACTTGAGAAAAGTTTTGAGTTCAACTCTCCCCCAGTTTCTTTCTCCTCCAGCAGAGACCAAGTAAAAGTAAGTGACATGTTCCACTGGGGAAGCCACAGTTCTGAATTCTCAAGTGGCATCTTGTCACCTTCTTCAGATGCTAAAATTAAAGGCCTACAGAGAGGTGAGTTATAGACGTCCTTTCCTTAAAATTGTGTAGAATCAGCTCAGGTCTTCTGACTCCCCATGCTACCTGCCCAGGTAAGTGCTTTTCTATTCCTAAGATGCAGCACCAGTGTGTGAGTGGGCTTCTGTGATTGTAAAGAAGAATTAAATTGTAGGTTAGGTTCTTTGGTAGTTCTGAATTATGTCCTCAGCTCTACCCATACTCAAAAGCTCAGAGGACTGTTTCCTCTAGACTGCAATGGGAAATTATCTTCTTTTTTTTTCTTTTTTTCTTTTTTTATTGGTTGTTCACAACATTACAAAGCTCTTGAGGAAATTATCTTCTTACTACAGTTAGCCCTTTACTTTGGTGACTCATGAATATTGCTAGTTTTTTAATAGGAAATGATTATCTGAAGTAAATCATTTCAGGTTCTCATCTAATTCTCAGACAGTAGTGAGTTCAATGTACGGCTCTATCAGATCTCAAAGTTCATATTACTAGTTGTCTTGCTATTTTCTGATTCAGCCTTACTAGTTCATAGTAATATTCACAAAGGAGGAGAATTTTATTTTACATGCTTGAATTTCATTCTCTTGTCTCCATAAATCAGTTCAAAATATTTTTTGATGTTTCCTAGACATGATTGGTTTACTTTTGTGAGGTCAAAACTGAGGCAAAATATATAACCATAAGAAAATGCTATTTGATGTTTTGAAGGAATGTGAGGGCTAAACTCCCTGAATAAGTCCATGATCTGAACAGAGAACATCATTTCATTCTGATTAATTGAAAAGTACTTCAGTGTGTATAATTTTCCTTCTCATTATCTCAGGTAGTAAAAGTAAATGCTGAAAAAATATTTTGAACTGATATATGGAGACAAGAGAATGAAAGTCAAGAATGTATAATAAAATTCTCTTCCTTGGTGAATATTACTATGAACAGTAAGGTTGAAGCAGAAAATAGCAAGACAACTTAGTAATATTAACTTTGAGATCTGATAGAGCCACACATTGAACTCACTGCCATCTGAGAAATACATGAGAACCTGAAATGATTTACTTGAGATAATCATTTCTTATTAAAAAACTAACAATATTAATGAGTCACCAGAGTAAAGGGCTAAATCCAGTGCCAGGGGATTCAAGCCGGAGCAGGGACCAGGGCCTGCAGTTGCTTACTATTAAAACCAAGTGGTGAGAGTAGCAACCGCCTTTTCCTGGCTTCCAAAGGTCCCACGGTGTCCCCTCTACAGGACATCAGGGAGAATGGAGATGTTAGTGGGGAAGTCATGGTGAACTTATGCCCTTTCTGTAGCCAATGCACATCACTAAATGAAAACATACATCCCAATAGTGACATGACACATGTGACTGTGTTCACCTTGCACCCATGAAAACAGATATACCCCCCTCCCTGCAGCCTGTGTCTTTGTTATTGATTACTAGTGTCTGGCCCATTTGTTGAGATAGATTGATAGATCAATAGATGATAGATAAATAGAAATAGATTGATAGACAGACAGATAGGTAGATAGATAGACAGATAGACAGACAGACAGATGATTTGGGTAGTGGCAGGATGCAGAATGTTTAAGTGAAGGCTTCCCTGGTCAGGGCAGGAGAGGAGGCACCACGGTGTTATCTCTCTCTCTCAAAGGGACCTCACTCCATCAGCTCTAAGGGATCCTAAGGATGATTTCTTAAAGAAACAAACCTCCATTTACACTTTGTTCTCCACTTATGTTTCACCCTCTACTCTGCCCTCTTAAGTTTTTCTTGTTCCTCCCCATGGTGAGCTCTTCAGATAAGATCTGTTTCTCAACTTCTTTTCCACATTATCTTTCTCTGATGTATGTCATTGTGTTCATATCCTCCAGTCTGAGGACGGCTTGTTTCCTCCATGGTTCCAGACATGACCTGGGTCTCAGCCCATCAGGGCAGCCAGGAGCTGCTGCAGACCCTCACTCCCCAGAGCTCTGTTTGAAAAGGGCATCCTGGGCCATCCTGATGAGGGACAGGCCCTATATCTGCGCCCAGATTTCCTAGACTTAGTGGTCCTGGCAGATGTAAGTGGGGTGAGGCACAGCTGGGAGGAGACAGGCTCAGAGGACTCCTTTTAACTTGCTTTTATGAAATGTCCACATGTTTCAGGATGTTTTCTAATAAAACTGATAAATTAGCACAGAAATAGCTACATTACATTCTTTATAAAATATCTACCTGTGAACAATGGAGGGCACTGTGGCTCTCACTGATACACACGGGTGTGACCTGCACAGTGTGCAGATGGCCAGCTGATTCTCTGCTTGCTGTGTCCTGGGGTTGCAGGGAGATAATGCCTGTGACAGGGGACCCATGAAAGCATCTGACTCTGCCACTTCCTTTCAACAGCATTGAGGGGACAGGAGATACGGTTTCCAGCTCTAACTAGGAAGTTTCTCCTATTGAAAAAAGTCTTCCACTGGCTTTCAGGTACAGCTCCTCTGAAAACACAGTTCTCTTCCCTCCTCAATCTGTCCCTCCCTCCCACGAAGGTGCCGACAGGGCTGCGTCCCCTGGGCCATGCTGAAACCCAGTCCTGAGCCCTCTGTCCACAGAGGACTCCAATACGCTATTCCTCCTGATTTTCTGATGCTGTAATTTTATTTTCTTAAAATAAAATTTAAGAAAATTTAATTTAAAGAAAATTTATATTTCATCACATGATAGAAGGGAATCCTAGTTATTTCAATTTCTGTGATTTTTAAAAGGCATCTTCAAATGTTGTATATCCAGTTTATGTTGTTTTAAGGGACTTTGGGGATCAAAATATCAGGGTATATCTTGTAACTTTCTTCAAAAACACAGCCATAAATAGGCATTTCTATAATTAGCTACACAGAAGTGAGAGAAACCATGTAGCGCTGTGCCTACTAATAACCATATGTGATTTTAAAATATGGAAACTCCTAGACCACAATATTAGCATTTTTCTTTTGTTTTCTTGAGCATACCAAGAGAGCAAATGTTACTTTGCTGAAGATGTGAATGGAGAAATACATATATACTTTTTAAAATAATTTAATCATTTGGAAGAGCTGTAATTTTCCTAATATGACTACTTAATTTTAATTTTAGACAATGACACTTCCTCAAAGATTTCAAAGCAATTATTTAACTAGGCTTGAAAGACTTAAGTTGTCTGGACTCTTTGACATTGTTGCTCACCCTTAAACTGATTTTTATCCAAATATACTTTTCTAGGTACCTGTGAACATAACATATACTCTTGCCCTCTTCTTTTTCAGATGATAAACTGTGGCATGATGTTATGAGTCTCAGTGTAAACATTAAAAATGAAATAAAGTAAATACCTTTTCTCTATAGGAAAATATTTCACAGGGATGTCATTACCAAATTGTCTGGTATAATTTTTACTCTCCCTTCTCTGGAGAAAATTATTCCTAACTAAGAAAAGATATGAAAGCTTGCTCTCTATGAAAACTCCTCTCTTAGTATGAGGTTGGCTTCCTGTCTCCTAATTAAAACACTGAAAATTATCACCACAAATGTAACTGACATTGTACAGAAGGTAGTGGCACAAACCTGTAGTTTTGGGAGGCTGAGGCAGGAGGATTACTGATTCAAGGCCGGCCTCAGCAACATAGCAAAGCCCTAAGCAACTTAGTGAGACCCTAATTCAAAATAACAAAGTAAAAAAGACTGGAATATGGCTCAGTGGATAAGCACCCTTGGGTACAATCCCAGGTACAAAAAAGAAAGTATTTAAATTGTGATTACTTTTCACCGTTTTTCCATGTGCCAAAGAATGGACAGAAAAGAAATTTTAGAATACGATCCTGCTAATTACTGATGGTTCTGTTCACTTAGATGTGTTTTCTCTGGTGTAATTAAATATATGTAAAATAATATAAGTGGTTAAGCAAACTTGGGTTCAATCTCTGGTACCAAAACATATATATTAATCAATAAATGCAAGAAGTTGGATTGCAGAGCCAACATTTTGATATTTTGATATCTGGTTTGTAAGCTGGTGACCAACAACCCAGAATAGAGGACACTGGAGGGACAGAGCTGTACGAAGCTGTCCCCTTGTCACCCTTTCCTTGAGAGTTCTCTGTGGACATCCCTGCAATTTGCCAATCTTGAGTCCCTTCAAATGCCACGTACTCAGCTTTTGACCAGGTGGCTTCTCGTGCCCAGGTAGATCAATGGTGGCCCTGGACAGAAAAGCACAGAGACCCAGGGGAGATGTTGTGCCTCAGCACTGAGAGGACTGGAGAGGGGGTGTCAGGAGAACCCCCGTGTTTTGAAGCAGGCAGTCTTGGGGGTCAGGATGTTGAGGCTGATGATAGTTCTGAGGAGGAGTTGACTTTCCTTTTATTCTAAGGCACTGACCATCTGCTTCTTCTCCCCAGGAAAAAAAAAAGATGACCCAAAGCAGCACACTTTACATTTTTCTTGCTGTAAGAAATGCCTTTTGTTTCCAAATTGTCATCGGGATCACAGCCAACGTCTTCCTGCTCCTCACGTTCCTTCTCAGGTGCAGGACCAGGCCCATGGACGTGGCCATTGCTCACCTGGCCCTGATTCATCTGCTGATGCTCATAATCAGGGTGCACCTGGACCTGGGCATTTTGGGGGTTCTGGACTTTTGGAACAACTTCACATGTAAAGCCATCATCTACCTGTACAGTCTGATGAGGAGCCTGTTGGTCCGCACCACCTACCTGCTGAGTGTCCTGCACGCCACCACCCTCAACCCCAGAAGCTCCTATCTGGCCAAGTCCAAGCACACGTCCCAACAGTGCAGTGCGTGGACCTTGGTCACTCTCTGGGTGTTCAACATGTTCTTCAATGTCCGTGTCTTGGTCTCTATGGGAGGCTCCCCCAATGACACAGCAGCTTTCCGGTTTGTCTCTGAGTCCTGCACTGTCGCCCCCACAGGTCACCAGTTCAGGACCTTCTTTTCCACAACAGGAATACTCCGGGACATCTTCCTTCTCGGGCTCATGGTCGCCTCCAATGGGTACATGGTGGCTCTCCTGTGCAGGCATAAGAGGAAGTGCCAGCACCTCCACAGCACCAGCCTGTCCCCGAGAGCCTCCCCAAAACTGAGGGCAACCAGGACCATCCTGCTGCTCATGGGACTCTTTGTGCTCATGTACTTTATGGACTGTGTGTTCTCCTCCTCTTTGGGACAGATGTACAGGGAGGATCCCACTCGCCTGTGGGTCCAGATGCTGGTGGGCAATGGCTATGCTACCCTCAGTGCCTTGTTGCTTATCTGTGCTGAAAAACAAATCATCAACTTATTCCAATCCACACTGGAGAAGGAGAGGAATTGTTTACATAGTGCCAGATAACCCCTCCTTTTCTCACCTCCCACTTTACTTCTGAATTTCCACAAATGTGTTTGGGTAGCTGAGGCAGGAGGATTGCAAGATGGAGGCCAGCCTCAGCAACTTAGCATGCCCAAAGCAACTCAGTGAGACCCTGTCTCTAAATAAAATATAAAAAGGCCTGGGGATGGGGCTCACCATGGTAAAGTGGCCCTGGGTTCAATTGTTGGTATGTAAATTTTTAAAAAAGACTAAATCACCGATTTAGTATGCATGACCTTACTATGCATCACTAAAACAGATATTCACTGTCCATAATATGCAAAGTGTGCCCACTCTTGGCTGGAAAAATTCATGTTGGAAGAACTACTTTGCTTCATCATAGCAAGAGAAAAAATATGCATAAGTACAACTCTGTGTGTCTGAATATAATTAGTGTTTTGAATCTTTCTTTCATTAGAGCAACAAGTACCAACTAATATCATCAATTCCCTCTATGTTAACTCCCCAAGTTTTTCAAATCATCACTGTCCCTTTTTCCTCCACATATTTCTTTTCATTCATATTTTCATATATTAATTTTTTAATATAATTTTATTTGCCTCTGAACAACAATCCTATAGTGAGTGTAGGTAATCAGGAGTCAGAGTACAGGAGAGAGCTCAGGTGGAAAACAGATCTCATGTACATCCCAGTTCTTTTTCTGTGGGCCTTGCAACCTCAACCTAGTGGCCTCTTTTAGCCTCATTGGAAGGCTTCAGAGATTAGCCTGGTGCCTGCACAAGGATGATATGCAAATGTATGAAGCATGCCATGAGAAAAAATTAGAGTAACAGCTAACTTCTGTGTGCACACACATTACGTATATATATATATTAACACTTAGTAACCATAGTGAGGCTCTGAAAGTATTAGTATTACTGTCCCCTCTTTATGTGAAGGAAACGAAGACCCAAATAAATGAAGTCAGTGAATTGCAGAGGAAAAAGGTGGAAAAAATCAGGATTTGATTGACAGTCAGGCTGCAGGTCCTGGGCATCAGCACTTACCCAATGGTATTTCTGACAGAACAGTGACGTCAGGTTAAAGTGGCACACAGGTATCATAGCAATTGCTACAGAGAGCTGGGGACTGGAATTCAGACCCCTGTCCTGCATCTGTGTAGCTCAAAAATGCAGCTGGATGCCCGGTGGCCATGTGTTTGGACCTAGGGTGACACAGCCTTAACCAAAGAAGTCAGGATGCTGGATTGAACCCCCAAAAGTCCACCCCTGTAGGAGACTAAGGCCATCACCTTCCTTCTGGGGTGTCATGTGGAGATTCTAGCTGCACTTCTGGGGGTGCTGTGGGGACTCCCAAGGACACGGGGCCCAGAGGCTGGAGGAGACTGCTATTTCTCCTGACTCCTGAAAAGTCTACTTTAACCAAAGGAAGAAGGCATTAGGTGGATTTCTTTTTGCCTTACTCAATATTAGCTACAAATTCTGTATACTACGTGATATTCACATATTTTTTTTTTTGAGATGGAATCTTGCTGTGTTATAGAGACTGGTCTTGAACTCCTGAGCTCAAGTGATCCTCCTACCTCAGCCCCCTTAGTAGCTGGAACCACAGCTCCCCAGTGCTGTATCCAGCTCAAAGATTCAGATTAGTGCTGAGGCTACAATGTTGTTTGTCTTTTCTTATTAATTTTTTAAAATAAATGACAGCAGAATGCTTTACAATTCTTGTTACACATGTACAGCACAATTTCTCATATCTCTGGTTGTATATAAAATATGTTGACACCAATTCATGTCTTCATACATGGGCTTTGGATTAGCAAGGATTGTGGAATGTGGTGTCTGTCTTTTGAGCAGTTTATTCTAACTTCAGTTCAACAGACTGTGACACCATCAGGATGTGGGTGAAACTGTCACACTCTATGAAGGAAGAAAGTGTGAGTGTCTGCATCTGGATCTTGTGTGACCTGGACAGTATTTACCCTAGGGACAAGTTAAGATCATTAAAGAAAAAAACAGCCACAAATATCTTCCATATAGTGTTAGAAATCCTGGGCTACCCCCAAGGAATCAAGCACATGTTTGGAAGAAGCCGGGCAAGGTGAACTTGGCGTCTGCAGAAGGGTGTACCACCGAACCCTCCTGGCATTCAGGCCTCATGCGCTCTTGGGCAGAGAGCCCACCTGTGTTCACCCCAACACAGCACTGCCCCCACTCTGATAGGAGGAACTCAGGCTTACCATCCGTGCAACTGGCTAATTTTGAAACTCCGGAGGGCAAATGCAAAAGCTATTGTTAAACTGTCCATAACTGGACCTTACACCCCAATGAAGGCTGAATCTTGTGTTCTGAAGATGGGCCCCCGACTTTATATTGCACACAAACCCTACATTTTTTTAATTTTTTGTCGCGACCCCCCTTGCCCGCAAGGAAGACGCGACTCAGGAATCTTCTTTCAGCAGTTTATTCAGGCCCTTGATATTCTTCTAATAATTCTTCTACTCTCTCGGATGCCCCTCCCAGCCTTAATAAAGCACCGCGAAGCCCAATGCAAAGCTGCCACGTGTACCCTTCTCACAGGGTGCTAGAAAATGACACGCCAACTTTCTCTGATAAGGAGCTGGGAACACGCCAACTCTCTTTGATATGGAGTTGTCCTTCACAGACCACAACGGAGCCAGCGCCATCATGTAATGGCGACCACAGTCCGCAGGAACGGCTCACCACCATTTTTAGATATATTGGTCTTCTTTTCACTTTGGCTCTTGCACCCTTTCTCAATGCCAGGCACCCAAGACATTAACGTTTTGATGTGGAAATGGCCCATGGTTAAGGGTTCTTTCCTCCTGAGCAGTTTCGGTAGCCTTCCTGGTGATCAGGAGCACCTGGTGGGGGCCTTTTCTTCTCCAGTGAAGCTTGTCTCCTTCTCAGGTCTCGACTAAAACCCAGTACCAGGCTGGATGTGAATTGTGAACTCCAGGGCAAGTGTTGGGGAAGCAGCTCATCATGGACAAACCATCCAACAAACCAAAAAATAGATCAAGTGCACCTGTGCAGGAGGTGAGGCATACCTGTAGATCTCAAGTTGACTCAGAAGACACTTGTGACTAGGACAGAGCTTTCTGCGTTATTTATTAGGCATTTCTATGTAAAAACCCACCCTATGTACCCTCCCAATTTCACTTACTTTGGAAAGGACTGACCCAATTGTACATCTCAGGAAACAATAAAAGGATGACTGTCTCATCTGTTAAATGCCCATGTACGGCTGTGTTTTGGTCATACTCTCCTGCCAGGAGGCTAAGACCAAGATATCCATGATAACAAGAAGGAGGAGAGTCACAAATTAAATAAGAAGAGAAAAATCAACTGATACCAAAATGGACCTTTTCCCTCTCTATGGTTAGAGCCAGCTGGGGTTTGTTAGGGATCAATGTTGGAAGTCTTTGAGAAGCTCTTGGCTCCTTGAGCTTTTCTTTGACCAGTTGTGCCATCTTCCAGGACAGTTCAGGGTCTTGCTGACCACAAGTTGTTTCCTATGGTACCAACAGGGCTGTTTCCCTCTCCAGTGACATTTCATTTTGCAGCATGTGCACTGGTTGGCTTCCTGTTTTCTAGGGTCCTTTTAGTCCCTGTGATTGGGCGGTCAGGTGACTCACTGGAGTGCTAGGGATCTTAAAGGATCCCGTTGTTCCCTGAATCTTGCCTGACCTGAGAGGGCAAGAAACAACATATTGCTTTTCTGTCCTTAACTTTGGTCTCCATGTTTTGGTTTCAAACATCTAGCCCGGAAGATCCACCAGTCTTGAAGTAGGAGCACTGGTGTTAACCTCTGTGTCTATAATGTTATATTGACCCCTTCCATTTAAGTAGGGTCACTGTTCGTGCTGGAAGTCAGCTTTATATTCTGTCTGTCGGTTCTGTAGTGATGGCTTATTGTCTCAGCCTAACTCAGGTTGATTTATTAGTAGTAGTGCCTCCTCCAGACACCAACAGGTGACAGTTACAAAGTTGTACAAGGAAAATAAAAAATGAAATAAACATGAGCAAAACCATATTCAGTTTGTATAAGAACTTGAACCAAAAGCCTATTTTTTATCCCAAACTTTCCTTAGTGATGTGTTATATCCCTGTTTATTTTGAGATCACAGTCAACGTTACCACACACAAAAAAATCTCTTTTGAACATTTTAAGTGTATTTGTTTCTGGCTTGCTTTGGAGACATCCTAATGTGGAGTAGGTTAGCTGGGGCTCTTGACAGATTTTAGGTAAAGTGCTTTATTTCTGAAGGTGATCTTTGCCTTTTACTTAAATATATTTTATAAAATTCTGACATTTCCTGAATATATCTGAATATCAGTGAACATAATTCAATCTTTCATCTGAAACAGGAACCAATCAGAAAGACTAAGATGGCTCTCAGTATACACAAATCAGACTCTCCTTGTTAACTACAAAAATGCATTTAAATCCTCATCCTAATAAAAAGAGTTAATACAAAATTTTACATGTATATATTCATATGTATAAAACTTATGTAACATGAAATTATACTATATATATATATATTACTTATATTACCTTTATCCAGATACAAAGTCTTAAATGACATAATAACCAACCAAATTGATTGTCTCTATATAAATCTGAAGGTGACGACTGCTACAAACAATTTCATTTTGGAGAACTCCAACTTGGTACAAATGTTCTAAGCTCCACATTTTAAAAGTCTTGTACACTTGTGCACCATGAGTACATCTAATATACAGAGAAGCTAGTAATAATTCGGGTCACAGTTAGACAGATGCCCTTATTAATTAAGTTAATTAACTAAGGTTAAATTCTCTCTCTTTGGTGTGTGTGTGTGTGTGTGTGTGTGTGTGTGTGTGTGTAGAAATCTATTTTTTTATATATTTTTTAAAATAAATAATAAAACATGAGATATCCATATAGAGTCTCCCAGAAGGAGAGAATACATAGAGAATGGCTACCAGAATATTCTAGAAAATAATGACTAAAAG